ATAAAAGGCCTAATAAAAAATATATTCTAGATATGTTTTAACAAAAACAATAAATGCTGCTTACTTTTCAATTATTTAGTTGTATTGGAATATCATAAGCTATATATTGTTGGCCTAAGATTTTTTTTAAAATTTAGTACTTTACAATTTTCAACAAATCATATATAAAATTAGCAAGCTAGTGCTGATTGTTTTCTTATACAAATACGTCTATTACACAATTTGATAACATGAATGTTAAACATGTTGAGTTATTGTCAAATTTGTATGACATGAATTGACATAAATAACCTATTTATTGAAAAACTAGTTTTACATTTTAATATTATTCCTACTAAGAGGTATTATAACATTTTTATTTTTTTATTTTATCTCTTATATAACTCCATCCAACTTATTAAAATTATCTAAAATAGAAACCAAACTTTTAGGATAATTAACATATAAGGGTTTTAGTCTTCCAACTTTTTCGTCTTAAGAAATGAAATAAAATTTCAATTCCAATAATCGTGTGAGTAGTCACGAAATGACCACCTGAGAAAAGTTTTTTTTTTTTTTTTTAAAAAAATTAGAGATAAATTTTTGAAAATGTAGTTAATAAATATATTTTTAGAGACAATATAGTTTCATGTCAAAATATTTACTTTTTGAGACAAAATTTAATCCTAAAAACATAATAATTTATTATTAAATGTTAAATTTTATCGCTAAAAATATAATATTAACATGTTTGCTGATTAAAATATTTCATCTCTAAAATGTTAATATGTTGAATATAACAAATCAAAATAGAACCCACGAGGCCCAAAAAATCATGCCCCATGACAATAATTTTGCTTGTTGAAGCCTAAATATTTGGCCCAAATAGAAATTCCAGTAACCTTTGAAGGCCCTAGTTTCAGCCTCTTTAAATGGCTAGATATTAATCCATTTCACTACCCAAAATTTTATCATAGAAAACCTGCAATGTCTCCACCTTAGGGCCAACATTTCAACATCTCATATAAAAAATTTCCTAGGAGTTTCAGCCTCTTTAAATGGCAAGAAATTAATCCATTTCATTACCCAAAATTTTATCATAGAAAACCTACGATGTCTCCACTTCACGGCCGACATTTCAACATCTCATAGCCCATTAATAACATCTATTAAGGCCTCAATGCAAAAATTTACTAGGCCCAAACACACACAGAAAAAAAAAAAGAGTATACATTTTTGTACATTTATTTTTTAAAGATTTTTTCACAAATATTTTATTTTTAAATGAAACTAAATTAAGTAGACTGAAAAAGTAATTTTTTATTAAATTATTAGAAATTATAATAAATAATTAAGAATTTATAATTAATTGTGATTTAATTGAGTTAATGTTAAAAATTAAAAACTATGTATATTAGAGGAAAACAAAAAAAAAAACAAAAAATGCATAGGATTTAAAGGTATTGTAGTTATTTCGCATATGTAACTTATGAAATTAATAGCTGCACTTTAGTCTAAATTGATGTTAGAAGTTTTTGACTATATTTGAACTAGAGTGTAACTTTGACCTAAAACTAGAAAGAGTGAATGTATTCATTGACGAAAAAAAATACTTAATAGTAAAAAGTTATAAATAAACTTTCAAATATTTAATTCCAATAATAAAAATAATGTTTGGATTGAGTGATTTGGAGAGAAAAGAAAAGAAATTGAGAGATATGTATTTTTCTTATTTGTTTGGATAACTTAAGTGGAGAGAAATAAGAAGAAATTGAGAGAAACTCATTTATCTTATAAGCCTCATTTTCAATCTTCCCAAAAATGGAGAGATTGGGAGAGAAAAGAAATCACTATTTTCATAATACCAATTTTGTCCCTATAAAAATAAAAGAAATAAAATGATTGAAAATATAAAAAGATTATTTTGGTAATATAACATAAAATAATTTTTTTTTTCTCTTAATGAAATCTAACAAAATAAGAATGAGATAAATCATAATCATTTCTTTTTTTCTATTTATTTCTTATCCAACAAAAAGGAGAGAAATCACAATAATTTCATTTCATTTCATTTCTTTTCTCTTATAACTTAAGTACTCATTTCTTTTCTTTTCTCTCATAAGTTCCCAAACATAGTGTAAGAGAATGGGTCAGATTTGGCCCTTTTGTCTGCTTATATATATATATATATATATATCTAAATGTTTCAGTTTAATTTTAAACTAGATTTATAGCTGGAAAATCACAAATCAAATCGTGAAGTATATGTCTATTTTGATAACGCGGTTAAAAATCAACTTTTTAGTTTTTTGATTTTTTTGAATCACATCACCTTTTAAGGGTGGGCGCGGGTCGGTTGCGGTCACGGAACCTCTAATCCGCTAGATTGGCGGATTGGAGAAAATCAATCCGCATCCGTCCGCCAATCCGGCGGATGTGGATTGAACGGATTAACGGTTTAGCGGATGGATGCGAATCGGTTTGGCGGTTTGAAATTTTATAAATTTTCAACATAGTTCAACTTGTACACTTCCTTAAAAAAAAAAAAAAAAATATTACAGTCAATGACTTAAAAAAGTATTACAATTACTGCATGCCTCATCCAAAGAAAGAAAGTTTGAAACTTTAGAATATCAAAATCACTGCATGTCTCATCCACATATTACAATCACAGTATGCCCTATCCGCATAAAGTATTATAATATGTGGTTCTTAAAATATAAAAACAATTAAAACCACCCAAATCATGAACATAGCAGTAGTAGAGATTGTATGTCTCTGTATTGTTACATTTATATATGTTTTTGAAAACAAAAACCAACCAGCATATATCATATTTTCTATTTATTACTTTTAAAGTTAAATTTAAAAACCAAAAAATATAAATAAATAATACGTTTATTTTTTCAATTCAAAAAATATATTCAAGTTGAAAACTTTTTTTCAACAGAATATTTAAACTCTTTTTCAATTGAAAACACAAACAAAATATTTAAATAAATTGAAAACACAAAGTCTTATAAATTATTAAGGGTGCTTGCGGTTTGGCGGTTCGGTTGTGGCCAAAGGGACCTCAAATCTGTCATCCGTCCGCCAAATTGACGGATTGGAGAAAATCAATCCGTAACCGTCCGCTCGTCATCACGCATCCGTCTAAAATGCGGCGGATCGGTTCGGTTCGGTCGGTTTTGACAGATCGGTATATCCGCTGCTCACCCCATCACCTTTATACTTTTTTGCATGTTTAAAAAAAAAATCCAAAAAAGATTAAAAATAAATTTTTAACCTACTTCTCAAAATAAGTCATAATTTGTTTATTTTAAAAATTAGAACCGAATTGTAAATTAAAAAAATAAATCCAAAACCATTTGATTTGGTCACAATCAGACCAATGTGCTATTTTTGAATTTTTTTTCTCAACTCTAATTGGGAGTGATCATTTTTCCTTTAAGGCCTCGTTTGGAAACAAACTATTTTAGTAATTTTTTGACTTTTTAAAAAAAAATGTGTAAAAAAATAAAAAGAATGATGTGATAACGTATAGTAATTTTTTAATTAAAACATATAATTGTTAAACGAGACTTTAGTGTAAATTTTGACAGCAAACACACTTAAAAAAAAAAAAAAAAAAAAAAAAAAAGAAACCTAACCCACTGTTTGCCCGATCCAAACTTTGACGGGTCATGACAACCCAATCTGACCCGACCCACCAAAATCCTAATTACAAAAAGTAGAATCCTCAAAAACTGAACCTTTATTCTGCACTGTCACGTATTGCCACCACCACAAGTGTATATACATACATACATACATACATACATACACATATTATCGTCATTTTTATATTATTTTCTCTTTCTTTCTTTTTTATTTTTTTATTATTACAAAAATTTAATCACCTTACTTGTTTTCAATTTTTAAAAAATACTTTTCAAAAAATTCTATTTTTTTATTTTTCGTATTTTTTTATTTTTACTGAATTTTTTTAATATTTTAAGTATTTTTTTTTTACTTTTTAGACACACTTAACATAAATACATCTAAAAAGTAAAAAAGATCTTTTAAAAATTCACTAAATACAAAAAATAAAAAAATAAAAAAATTTAGTACATTTTTTATATTTTTATGTATTTATTAATTTTTTAAAATATTTTTTTACAATTTGTTTAACTTTTGAATACATCTAACTAAGATGCATATGAAAAAGTTAAAAAAATATTTAAAATTTTAAAAAATTCACCAAAAACAAAAAAAATACGAAAATTAAAAAAACAAGTTTTCAAAAAAATTTAATTCAAAAAACTCAAACCACACGCGTATAATATTTTTCTATAATAGAATGAGGCGGGAAGGAGCAAGCTTTTGTTTTCATATCTCTCTTCTCAATTCAATCGGTTCTTCAATAAAAATAAAAGGAAAATTTATCCATAAGTCATAGTTTCTGAAAAGTTGAACCATTTAAGTCCTAAAAATTTTCTTATGCTCCATTTAATCCCATTTGCACATCAATCTAATGTTCGAAACATTAATCTGATGTTCGAAACATTGTAATGGGACCTTTCAGTCTATAAGAAAACTTTTAGGACTAAACAGTGTATAAGTTATTAATTTGAGATTTATTGGTGCATCCCCCAAAATAAAACGCACAAAAATACAATAATTATTACCTAGATATATAAATAATTATTGTAATTTATTTTATTCCCTTCTCTGTCCTGTTGCTCCTTGGACCTTAAGGGCTTGTTTGGTTTGATTTTGGGAGATGAGTTTGGGAGATAAAAAGTACGAAAAGTTGTTTGGTTTGGTTTTTTTGGAAAGATGTTTTGGAAAATTATTTTGAGAGAGAGTTTTGGAAAAAGTGATTGATTTGATGTGTATGAGAGAGAGATTTGTTTGAAAAACTTGTTTGGTTTACAAGTTTTGGGAAATTTTTTTAGAAAAATTTGTTTGGTTTGAGTTTTTCTGAAAACTCATTTGTAGAGAAATTTTCCCAAAAATTTTTGGGAAATTCAAACCAAACAAACCCTAAATCTCTATCTCTCCTCTTTCTCCTCTCTCTCTCTCTCTCTCTCTCTCTCTAGACCACAATTAGAGCTTCATCTCACCATTTACGAAGCTCCGTTTCGTTCTTTTCAGGTTTGTTTTCTCATTCGATCTATGCATTTTTACTGCTTGTGGTTTGACATTTGTGAATTGTTTCTTTGTATTCGCGATCGAGTTTGGGAGTTTTAGGGTTTTTTTTTTTTTTTTGGGCGATCCTGATGGATTGTTCGGCTATCGATTGATGAGAGTTTCATCGAATTGGGTATATGCACATGGTTTTTTGTTTGTTGAGTTTCATCGAATTGGGTTAATTTTTAATCGTTTTTTGCGTGTTGAATTCGTTGTAGAGTTTGATTTTATGCGTAGTTCGAAAATTAAGAATTAGGGTTTATTGAAATTTTTGGTTTTTGGACGTGGGTTTTGGGTCTTTATCAATTTTGGAAGGTAGGTTTGAGAAATTATTGCTGAATTGAAAATGTGTGCACTTGAGGAGATCTTTCAATTGTTCTGAGAAAGGAGACATTTTTATATCAACTTATGGTTCATTTTTGGATAAGATATCATTATTGAGAAGGATGAAGATTCACATGCAGTTTTTATTTATTTATTTATTTTAATCTGTTGCTTTTGTTTTGTTTTGTTTTTTTTAAAACTTTTCTTCTAATGGTTTTTACTTCCTGACTAATATGTGAAGTTGAAGGGTGTGGAGGGAGCAGTGGAGTGGGAAATGGCTGGGACTGCGAGTGAGGAATCTGGAGTTGGAAGGTCTTTCGAGGAGATTTCAAGTGTGCAGCAGCGTTGCCAATCTGGGGAAGCATTGGTGGAATGGCAGTCCTCTGAGCAGTTGGAAAATGGAACCCCGTCAACTTCTCCCCCTTATTGGGACACTGATGACGACGATGACTGTGGTATGTTGTTTGTCCGCATCAATCTTTTGCACTCCATGTTTCTTTGTTATTTGCTTGTCCTTGTAAGGTGTTAAAAAACAATAATGAGAGCGATCATAGTTGTGATATGTATTTTTTTACTTGTTTTTGGTAGGGGTGTAAACCGTTCAGTATGGTCATTGTTAAGAGTATATTTAGCGCCGAACCGATCCTTTCGGTTTTTATGATTGAGAAATTAATATAGATCGTATGCTACAGTTCAGTTTTATTGTTTTTGTTGGTTTGACGTAGAATAGAAATTTATATGAAATATTGAAAAGTTTTATAGTAGATTTTAGAATTTTACATTGAAAATAAATGAAAAAAATATATGAAAATTGCTCTATAAATATTTTTCTCCTTAATTTTTATCACAAAAGTGTATTATATTAGTTACTTCTCAAATAATATTCAAGAAATTATAATATAAAAATATTTAAATATAATATTTGGTTGGTTCGGTTTGTATCGGTATAAAAAGTTTCAAAACTGAAGCAAACCGTATGTTATGAAAAATAGACCAAAAACTAAAATTTCAGTTGGTTTTATCAGTTTTTCTTACATCCCTAGTTATTGGTATTGGTATTGGGTTTGGGTTTGACTTGTTGAGTAATTTAGTAGGGAATCAAAGCTGAATATATTGTTCACTGAAATTCTTGTACATTTTGCTGTTTCTGTACTTGGTGTGATGTGAAGTTTTGAGGTAAGAATTGGCAAACTTGTGGAGAATCATGCTTGGTTGTGGGAGACCAGACCGTATAATAGCTGGAGGTTCCATTAAGATCCAGTTTACAGTCACAAAGCCAGTTTTGATCTGCAAGTAGCTAGTTCTTGTAAATTATGTCTGGTCATGCTAGATAGCCCTCGCCATCCATGTTATTGGAGTTTCTCATTCTGACATAATAGAGAAGTAACGATAAACAAACAAACGAACATAAAAGTTATGAAACCTAATTTTGATAGAGGGAGAAATCTAAAAGTTTATTGCAAGTGTTGGCTGAGGTAGATAATGTTTCAAGGAAAAAAAGGGTTTATGCCAAGGTAGTGACTGATGCAACTGAATTGTCTTTCATTTTGTTCACATCCTTAAAGTGATCAAAGTGAATGTTTAACATTTTTTTGCTACATGCAAAATATGGTTTTCTTTAAAGCTACCTTTATTCCTAGAAGTTTGTCCATGTCTTCATGATCTGAAGCTTGGAAAACAGGCTAGTGCTGACGGAGACCAAACTAAGGTGCCTTTTCTAGCAAGTTGCCTGCTAAAGATGGGTAATTGTAAACTGCTAGCAATTATTGTGGGAAAAATCATACACGAGTGAATTTTAGATGGAATTTTCTTGGTACTCAGACCTGCGTAACCACCGTGTGCATATTTGACCCCTTCACGCAGCTGCTTGTGTCAAAATTCTGGGTGGTGGTGAATTAAATATTTGTTAATATCTGATGTATGTTTTAAATGTAGACAAGATTGGGATTAAATTAGATGAGTACTATCCTTGGTGCTTTTGTTTATATACAAGCTGTCGTGCTTCAAGGGATGTTAGCTGTTAGTCAAATGTTTACCTAATAAGCTATAGGTGAGGGGCTATGGTACATGAACTTTTTCTAAATGTATGAAGTATCCGTGTCGGACACTTACTTACACTTGGGTAAGGATATGTGCACTATGGCTCTTTGTAACAAATGCTAAAAACCATATTTTTTCCAACTATTTTTATCTTTAGTGGTTTTTTTTTTTTTTAATTTATAATTTTTTTATCAAAAGTTACGCTTTTCTGGTCCTAGTTTAGATAAGTTCCTTGAAGACCGAAAAACCATTTTTTTGCCTTTTTTTTTCCTTCTTCAGTGGACATGTTGAAATTTATTTTTTATTTTTAGGGTGTTCTAGTCTTGTAGGAACTTAAAAGTGAACTTTTTTGGAGAAAAATACAGAAAGTTCAATAAAAAACAAAGAGAAGTTAACAAAAATGTTGCTAAAAAAAGCAATTGCCAACACCCTAAGGGGTTGACTTGGTGGCAAGGCCTTGGGTCTTGGAGTGTACTCCCTCCAAGGTTCAAGGATTGAAACTTCTTAGGTGACAATTCGTTGGGGCCATCGGACTAGGGGAAAACCCTGGAATTAACAGGGGTGCACTTGTGAAAAACTCTTTGTTGAGGGCCTGTGCATCCGTGGGGATTGGTCAGGCTTTGATCCGGAGGACACCCCAGCGCCAATCAAAAAATTAAAAAAAATAAAATAAAGAAGCAATTGCTAAAGCAGCCTAGCAAGCATCCTTAGTAATTTAAGTTTACCCTAAAACTATTCATGAAACTTCCATATTATACATGGATTGGTCTATGGCATCTTGTGAACACCATTTATCCTAAAAAAATAAAATTATGTTAAGAAATATGAATTTTTTTGCAGTGTTCCTTTGTCCTCTGACATGAGAATAAAATGAATAAAAATTGAGACGATACCTACACTAATGTTCAGAATCCATACCAGCCAAGATACCATTTTGTTCATTGGTACAGTAATTACCAGTACTGTTAAGTTTTCGGATACCATTTCAAATTTATAGCCACATATATTATATATGTATTTAAAAAAAAATGCTACCTAACACTAAATAACTTTTGGATAACATAAACATTTATCAAGCACAAATATATATGCAAAAAGAGGCTTCAAAACATCTAATAATAAATTCCAAATACCTCAAAAGGGCTAAAACACGTACCATCTCCATATATATGTTTTAAAAGAAAATATTCTTTCCTATTATGTTATTAGTATATATATGTAGTAAATGGTCACTAATTAGATTATATACAAACGTGTAAACTGCTATCTGAAACATCGAGGCTTTGTTTGGTTTCAATTTCATAATCAGATTTTCAAAGTTTTTCTAAAAACATAAAATTAGTTTGACAAAAATAAATACCAAAAAGATGTTTTAATATTTTAAATTATTTTTGCCCTCAAAATGTAGAACCATATGAAAATGATGAGTGTTTATTTATTTATTATTATTATTTCACTAAACTAGTTTTTAGTTTTGTCAATTTTTTTCAGAAAACAAATTCTAAAAACCAAACCAAACCAAACAAAGCCCGAATTTTTGAGATACCGGCTGAAAACTTCCAGTATGGCCAAAACTCGCCGATATTGTCCAAGAGAGGTGTGGCGAAATTACACTGCTTTTATACCGGTTTCTTTGCAAAATGGTATATACTGGCTGGTATGGAACGGTATCAAAACCTTGCTTGCAGTTGACACTTGTATATGCAACATAGGTGGACGGAAATATATATATATATATATATGTATTATAGAATGTCTTGGTCTCTTTTAGAATGTCTTGACCTCAAAGCAATTTTTATGAATGAATATAATTTATTAAAAAGATTCATGCAAACAAATGTAACCTATCAAATAATTTCTTACTATATTGATAATTTGAGATAATAAGTCATAAATGCATTTATGATAAAAAGAAAGAATAAGTTGTTTTTGTTTTTAATTTATTGTCATGTCCTCCTAGTAACATTAAAAAAAGGCAACGCAGTGCAGAAGATTCCTATTAAAGTGAGGTATGGGGAGGGCAAGATGTCAGCATCCTTACTTATATTTTCCAATTGCATCTTTCCTTATTTTTTTAAATCTTTCTCGTGTTAGTGTTTGTATTCTATAATATTTGTGTCCCGTGTTCATATATATTCTTTCTATATAGTGGTAAAGAAGATTTGGAATGAGACTAGCCATAGTTGCAATAATGGTGCAATAAGAGAGTCAAAGTGTTTCAGTTGATGTTGGCTACCCTAGAAGCTCTTGTAGTTATCATAGATCCGCTATATTTATTTATTTATTATTTTTACATGATTGAACGAGTGACTTGTAATTTAGTTTTGTGAAATTACTTGCCTTTATTGGAGATGGTCTACTAAAAGCACTCTATGTTCCTCAAATTTTCTCTCTCCATAAAACTAGTTACACCACTGGAATTTTTGTCTTCCTAAATCTCCCTCTTCCTAAAAAAACTAGTCATACCACCATATTATGATAGATTATTTTCCACAAGTTATCTTACTTATTATAACAACTTTTCAATGACGTTCTCCGCAGGTGAGCTCCCAACCATTTGGGTTTAAGTAGCACAAATAAGGAACAATATGGGTATGTCGTAGATCACCCATTCATGAAGCGGGAGCGGGAGCGCGAGAGCGAGAACATCCTTTGTGAAAATATCTTGAGAGAAGGAGCATCTTCAGAGCGTTTATATTTTTATTTTAAGATACACATTTACATAAATATATAAAATAATTATACTTGGTATTGACAAAGAAAAACACAATTCATATAAAATGGGTACAATCCTCCATGGCTTACACCAATTGTAATGGTGATGACTTGGCCTAATAACCTTGAGGTTATGGGTTCAAGTCTTGGGACCATCACTTTGTGCATTATGCCAAAGGTTAGGTGTGTACTCAATCTTTCCTCTCCCAAACACGGTAATGTGTTCTAATTGGGTGTTGTTTTTTATCTTTTGATTAGTGTGTAGGGATTGTTGTAATCCAACGTCTATAGTATGTTGACGAGTGTCCTCATGGGACTTGCACCTTTTAGTTGAACCAATTGTTTGATCTAACTTGTCAAAACGGGTGGACCCTTTTTGTTGGCATGGCCCATATTGTAAAATGGGTTAAGCCCCATAGTTTTAGTGGGACCCACATCTCTTTGAAGGCTTCAACCATCTTGACTTTGATTAATCATGAACAATTTGTTTGTCTTGATCAATCGAACGGTGACTAAATCACTACAAAATTTTGGTGTATGCCATACCATAGCTTCGCCGACCCCATTTGATGGGACTTAAAGCTTGGTTTGGTTATACCATACCATAGCTACATATCGCTCTCATGTGCAGGATCTGCTATGTTGTTTCTATATTATTCTCCTACTTTATGTGGAATGAAACACTATCTGAAACCATTATTGGGGGGCAGTCTTATGAAGATAGATTTTAGGTCTTCATTACAGTAACCATTTTCAGTTTTTTCCCATCCAAACCAAGCCTTAAGTCCCATCAACTAGGGTTAGCTGTATGAATCATTCTTTTCCACTCGACTCTATCCAAGGCCATTTCATTAGTCAAATTAAGGAGATTTATATCTTTATTTACTACACTATCCACATCAATCTAGGTCTACCCTTTCCCCTAACACTACCATCTACCGTCATTGTATCGCATCTCTTTACTACTGCCTTTGTTGGTGTCCATTGTATATGACCAAACAATCTCAATTTATTCTTTGTCAACTTATCTTCTATCGGTACTACTCCTATCCATGCTTGAATATACTCATTCTTAACTCTGTCTTTTCTAGTCTTGCCACACATCCATCTTAGCATCCTCATCTTAGCAACACTCATCTTATCCACATGTTTCTTAATTACCCAACATTTCATCCCATACAACATCGCTGGTTTAATAGCCGTTCTATATAACTTCTCTTTTAATCTAATGAGTACTCGTTTATCGCACAGTACTCCAGATGCACTTCTTCATTTAAGTCACCCCGTCTTAATCCTGTGGACCACATCCGTTGCAGTCTCCCCAATCGTTGAGATGATCGATCCTAAATAAGGAAAATTCTCACTCTTAGGTAGTTCTTGGTTCTCAATATTCACTTCTCCTCTGCTTCCATTGTGACTGTTACTAAAATTACACAATACATATACTTTGTCAAATCTCCAACTTAGTGTTAACTCCTTCTCTAGTCTTATCCACTAACACGATGTCATCTACAAAAAACATACACTATGGCACATCATCCTGAATATTGCACATCAACTCATTTATAACTAAAGTGAAAAGATAAGAACTTAAGGTTGATCTTTGGTGTAACCTTACAGTAATTAGAAATTCACTCGTTTCTCCAGCAGGCGATCTAATAGTGGTCACCACACCTTCATACATATCCCTAATCACATCAATGTAACCTTTTGTCACCCCTTTCTTCTCTAATACCCATCATATTATATCCCCCAGGCACTCTATCATATGCTTTCTCAAGATCAATAAAAATCATATGAATGCCTTTTTTATGTTCTCTATACTTTTCTGTTATTCTCCTGAAAAGATAGATCGTTTCTATTGTTGACCTACTAGGCATAAACCCAAATTGATTCTCTGACACCTTTGTTATATCTCGCAATCGACGTTCCATCACTCTCTTCCGTACTTTCATTGTGTGATACATTAACTTGATTCCTCTATAATTGTTGCAAGTCTGGACATCTCCTTTATTCTTATATATTGGCACTAAAATACTCTTTCTCCACTCTGGCATGTTCCTAGTTAATAAAAATCTTGCTAAATAACCTAGTTAACCAAACAATCCCTTTCTTACCCAAACATTTTCACACTTCAATAGGTGTATCATCGGGTCCTAAATTCTTATTCAATTTCATCTTCTTAAGCGCAAACTCCACTTCAAAGTCCCTAATCCTACGATGGAACCTATAGTTTGGTTTTCCTTATTACTGTCTACTTCCTTCTTTTTTGACCTACATTCATGTTTCTTATGTAACAGTTTCTCATTTAACAATTTCTCAAAGTAGTTGTTCCACCTCTTCTTAATCGTTTTATCCTTCACCACCACCGTAGAGTCTTCACCTTTGATGCACTTAACCTGATTAAAATCTCTTATTTTCCTCTCTTATCTTAGTAAGCTTGTATATATCTTCTTCTCTCCCTCCTTATTATCTAGTCTAGTGTATAGGTCATCATAGGCTTTCAACTTAGTCTCTCTTACTACTTTTTTGACCTCCTTATTGGCCAATCTGTAGCGCTTAAGGTTTTCTTCAGTTCTATCATTCTCCCACTTTTTAAAACTCTCTTTTTTTGTCTTTATTACTGCTTTGACCTTCTCCCTCCACGACCGAGTTTCCCTAAAGTTGGGTCCTTTTCTTTTCAACTCTCCAAGAACTTCTCTTGAGATTCTCCTCATACAATTGGCCATCGAGTTGCATATAGTGTTAGTATCATGGCCTAAGTACCTTCTTTATCCATTCTATTCTTAAATGTGTCTAGTTTATCCCCTTTTAGGTCCCACCATCTAGTCCTGCGACGCCTACTATCTTTTCGAGCTTGGTATTGCCCTTTAAAGTATAAATCTAGTACCACAATTCTATGTTGAGACATCAAGCTCTCTCCAGGAATCACCTTACAATCGCTGCATTTTAGATTGTCCCTTTTTCTTACTAGAAAGTAATCTATTTGGCTCCTAATTGACTTACTCTTGAAAGTTATCAAATGTTCCTCTCTCCTTATACATAGTATTGGCTGTCATTTGGTTAGAAGCCAACGCAAAATCTAAAATACTTTCCAATGTTCCTCTCTCATTTCTATCACCAAAACTATACCCACTATGTGCCCTCTCATAACCTAGTTTATCTACTCTTATATGGCCATTGAAATCACCACCTATAACTAGGTTCTTTCTTACGGGTATTTCTTGTAATACCTCATCCATTTAGTCCCAAAAAACTCTCTTAGTCGATCTAATCCTACTTGAGGGGTATATGCACTAATAACATTCACTATATTCTCTGCAATAACTAGTTTAACTAACATAATCTTATTACCTTTCCTAATGACCACAACTACATTTTCTACAAGACTTTTGACAACTATTATTCCTACCCTATTTCGTGTCTATCCTTACTACTATAATATAGCTTAAAACCGGTATCCTCTATTTCCCGAGTTTTCTCACTCGTCCACGTAGTTTCTTGTACGCAAGTTATACTAACTCTCCTCCTAATCATGACATTTACCAATTTCATAGTCTTACCAGTTAAAGTTCCTATATTTCTTGTGACTATCCTAAACCTATAATCTTAGACTAGCTTCTTTATCCGCGCTCGTCTAGAAAAATGCAGAAACCTTTGGCCATTTTTCATTGCACCTAGGCGTTGATACGGCGTTCCTTGCTCACTTTTCGAAACACCCGGAGGCAGGCGCAATGTGTCACTTAAAGGGAACGACCTACCATTTAATCGGTTTAAAGTATTAGGCTTCATGTCATAAAGGATCCGAGCGGCTTTTTTACGTGTTGATTGTCGGCTACTAACACACAACCCTCCTCCTTTGCCGGGGCTTGGGACCGGCGGAGTTGTTAAGCAACCCCGGCGGAGTTAGTTTTTCCGATCGAATGCTTTTAATCTGTCATATCTGCTTTGGCACATGATGCATCTGTTATGTGTTTAACTTAAACTTGCTATTTTATTACTTTGCAGGACCAAAACCTTCTGAGTTATATGGAAAGTATACATGGAAGATAGATAAATTTTCACAGATTAACAAGCGAGAACTTCGTAGTAATGCATTTGAGGTCGGCGGCTACAGATGGTTTGTAAAACATGCATTTTCCGTTGTGCTTATTTGGTTTATTTTTATGGTTGCTGTTATCATTATTAAAGAACACATTTTTGGAATGCAATATTATTATTGTTATGTACTTCAACTGTACCATTCTTTAGTGGTATCTTTTACAAAAAGAAATCAGTGTTATTCACTGTATTGTATGGATATATTTTATGCAGATTGGTACTTTCATGCTTGCTGTATGCGAACATGCATGTGATTTTCCAATCAGTAGTTCTGGTTGAAAAGAATATCCCATGTGCTGGGTTGGCATTGGAACTTTTACTAGTTCTGAATATGCACAGAAGTTGTTTGATAGATATTGTCAGATTGAATTGGAATTTTGTTATGTTGATTAAATTTAAGAGGGGATGCCTACGTGTTATGACAAATCAGCATGACCTCAGGTCCACAGCCACATCACATTTTGGATATCTTATTTGGTTAGGTTTGTAGTATCTTTGAAAAATACTTGGCTGAAATTGAAATTTGACCTACTTGTTCAATCATTCATCAGCCCCGAAAAATTTGTGCAATTTCAATTTTCAAAGAGTAAGAATATTTTTCTCATAGCCATTTGACCACTGTGCCCTTCTCCTTGTTATATGTGGGCATGCTGAGGGTTGTGAGATCAATGATTATGGTGTGGAAAACTGCTTCACGTTGTATGTTCTAATTGAAACTTCTTCCTATGGCTGCAGGTACATTTTAATATACCCTCAAGGTTGTGATGTCTGCAATCATCTTTCTTTGTTTCTCTGTGTGGCTAATCATGACAAGCTTCTTCCAGGTTTGCTAATACATAATTATTTATAATTTGTCTTGATAATCAATTTTCGTCCTTTTCTAGTTGATCTCACTTTTTTCTTGTTGGTTAAACCAGGATGGACTCATTTTGCACAGTTCACTATAGCTGTGGTGAATAAAGATCCTAAGAAATCCAAATATTCTGGTTGGTTGGATATGTATTGGCAAACTTTGCGGAGTTTCTGGTTCTAATTAGTTCAGCACTAATGACTTATAATTGAATTCGCAGATACGTTACATCGATTCTGGAAGAAAGAGCATGACTGGGGATGGAAAAAATTTATGGAGCTATCTAAAGTGTTAGATGGGTTTATTGATGCTGATACTCTCATTATTAAAGCTCAAGTCCAAGTCATCAGGTCTTTTATGAGTCATCTTAATAAATCATGTTATTCTGTTTTGGAACCAATGAAATATGATTTGGGATAATATTCCTCGTCTATTAACTATGGCTTAGGAATTCTTATGCTGCTGAGAATGGGTTAATGTTCTTTTTCTTCCCTAAATCTTCCCACTTGACCTCTTTGAGGCCCCGGCATAAGCACTCTCTCTACTTGGCATTCTTCCCCCTTTTTTGCCCCGAGCGACATATTCAGTCTAGGCTGTGCTCATTTATTCAGAAAGAGATTTTAACCATCCCTTTCTACACTAGGCATGATCTCGAACCACATTTCTTTTCAGCCCTTGAACCAGAGGGGTTATGTGTAAGTTTGGTTCTAAGATAAGCCACTAAGCTATTTCGGACAGTCTTCTTGGAACTTCTTGGACCAAGATATGCTTTTGGTTTGTGTTTAACCATTTTCATATTTCTATTACTAAGAAACAAAGAATCATAAAACTTTCATCTCCCGTAATGCTTTTGCTTTTACAACTATGATTGAGAACTGCTATCCCACTCTTTGAGTAATTATTTTTCCAGCAGAGTTATTTTTCCTTCCTATAGGTTTCATTCTTGCTATAGTGATCAAGTGGTTCTGTTATTACTAGTGTTAGTAAGGGTTAATCATTGTGATTACTGATTCCAAGTAATACTTTTGGTTTGTAGGGAGAGAGCAGACCGTCCCTTTCGCTGCCTTGATTGTCAGTATAGGAGAGAACTTGTTCGGGTATATTTGACAAATGTAGAGCAAATTTGTCGCCGTTTTGTGGAAGAAAGAAGAAGCAAGCTTGGGAAATTGATAGAAGATGAAGCTAGATGGTCAAGGTAGAGTTTATCTGCTTTTGTAATTGTTACATATTAATGACATATTCTTTCATGAAAGAGAGGATATTTTGAGACTTCCAATATTAATAATATCTTTAGTTCTTATGGCTCTTGGTTTTGACATTCTTTTCTATTTTTGTTGTTTTGGGTTAATCAACAGAAATGTGGGCTTTTTATTTTCAGATCTTTAAAGCTGCTTAAGTGGAGTGACATCTTATGGTTTCAATTCTTTAAATTTAATTTTCGTTGGTTATATTCTACAGTCCTAAAAATTTATTCTTTTCTAATTTCTTTCTTCCTTCTTTGTCTGCTTAAAGCTTGTTAACTTTGTGTCTGTTATGCTTCATCTTTTTGTTTTCTCATGTGATCTGGTTCTACACCATTTTCAGTCAGTGTATTATTAATTCCAGAATAACAGATAACTTGTGATGGCTGCAGCTTTTGTGCTTTCTGGGTAGGGATTGACCAAAATGCTAGGCGCTGTATGTCCAGGGAGAAAACAGATGCAATTTTGAGAGTTGTGGTGAAGAGAAATGTGGGCTTTTTATTTTCAGATCATTAAAACTGCTTAAGTGGAGTGACATCTTATGGTTTCAATTCTTTAAATTTAATGTTCGTTGGTTATAGGCTACAGTCCTAAAAATTTATTCTTTTCTATTTTCTTTCTTCCTTCTTTGTCTGTTTAAAGCTTGTTAACTTTGCGTCTGTTATGCTTCATCTTTTTGTTTTCTCATGTGATCTGGTTCTACACCATTTTCAGTCAGTGTATTATTAATTCCAGAATAACAGATAACTTGCGATGGCTGCAGCTTTTGTGCTTTCTGGGTAGGGATTGACCAAAATGCTAGGCGCCGTATGTCCAGGGAGAAAACAGGTGCAATTTTGAGAGTTGTGGTGAAGAACTTCTTTATAGAAAAGGAAGTAACCTCTACCTTGGTAATGGATTCCCTGTACAGTGGACTGAAGGCTCTTGAAGGCCAGACCAAGAGCAAGAAAGGTAGGGGGAAATTACTGGATGCAGAAGAATTGCCGGTTCCTATTGTTCGCATAGAGAAAGATATATTTGTTTTGGTGGATGATGTGTTACTACTACTTGAGAGGGCTGCCTTGGAACCATTGCCTCCAAAGGATGATAAGGGTCCTCAGAACCGTACAAAGGTGAGCGTAGTGAACATGGTGTTAAAATTTATGGAATCATGTAATTGTTTTTGTTTTTTTGTCTTTCGAGTGTACAAAACATTTATTGATTAAAAACTGCCTACTTTTTTTACTTGTCAAAATAGTAGTTAAAAACTGAGGGTGTAACTTTTGATATGAACCATTGGTGCTGCATATGTTTAACGTATCTGATAAATTGTGTCATTACTTTTTGGGTAAGAAATTTCATCCGTTTCCTCTTTTATTATGTGTTGTAGTTAGTGTGGATACTTGGGTGCACTCAACGCTTTGTTTCATGTTAATGTGTCAACACTGTAGTTTCCCATAGAGGTCTTCCATAGTAGTCTTTATTTCTCGTAGATCATGTCTGAAATGAAGTTTACACTTTGATTTTGGTTAACGCACAGTGAACCATAGATAATAACACTCAACGCTTAGGTCAAGCAGTCTTGTACATTAATATTACCAGGTGTGAAGCCTGGGTTTGAGTCTTATTGCTGTGAATGCAACTTCCCTTCCCCTATTGCCCTTCCTTATGTTGACCAAAAAAAAGAAAAAGAAAAAGAAAACATATTGATATCTATTGGCTCATAATCATTTTGCTTGATCATGCTTTCACTGACTCCGGGATCTTGTGCAATTCTTTGATTTATATTTGCATTTATATTTTTTTGGGTCTAAGAAAATGAAGCGATGATATGTTGGAAGCTTGCCTAGTAGCTTTAGTTGTATATTTTTGCCACCCCCAAAGGGGTGGTTGCATGGTTCAAGTCTTGATTGGGACAATGGGTACAACCAAAAATTTAAAAAAGTCCCAAAACTACAAGATTAATTTATGTTATTTGACATTTTAGGTTTTTTGAGGCAATAATTCCTTGAAAATATAATCCACTCTATTTATCTTCTGCATACATACCAATTAATTGAGAGTTATTTACTAGCTAAAACTTTAGGCTTAAGAGGGTTCTTTCAGAAGTCTTCCATAGAGATTGTCAACCAATTTTGTTGGGTTGTGTTGTGTTGCTTTAAATGTGGAGTGGTAGGCTATTGGATATTATGTGACATTGTGCTGTTGGAGATTAAGTGGTATTAATTATTGAGAAATGTAGATTGACAATGTGATAATAGTTGATGAAGTTGTATAAAGTATTGACAAGACATTGTGTTAGTGTCGATAAGATGAAGAGATGAAGACATTAAGACGATGTTAAGAGAGAAGTACTCCAGTTGAAAGGGGTTTAAAATTAGTAGAAATAAAACTAAATATTCTAGATTGTGCATTTATGCTGCTGTTATGTGACTTATCTGTTACCTGAGCACATTATTATAATTTATAACAAATACAAAGAAGGGTGTTATTTACGAAATGTGCCATATCTCATGTAGCAGAAGATTGAAATTTGATAGATTGAATGCGCTATATCTCATGTAGCAGAAGATTGAAATTTGATAGATCCCTGCTTATTAGATAATGTTGCAGATGTAAGGTTTTTGAATAAAAGATGGTGTTTGAGAAAAATATAAGAAATTTTAAATTCCAAATTATTGCATAATCTGTGATGAAGGTAAAAACAAACAGAAGTAGAAAATGGGAAATTTCTTTTTAGATCATTATGGTTCACTTTATGAGATGGTGGTGACAGGGATGACGAGATGCGATTTTTATCCAAGTGTTAAAACAGTGGGCGGAACTATGACAAGGATATTTTAGTATTCAGTGGAGGATATGGCTTTAGATGGAATTGAATGCCTAAAACATGTTCATTCTTATCCCTTCTTGTTGACATTAAGGCCTTTCTTTTTCTGTTACTGCATATGGGCAAAAGAGTTGTCTGGGAGAATTTGCTTTACTGTTAACAGAATTTGCTTTACTGACAGAATTTCCTATTGTCTCTGTAATTGGTCAGTGGTTCAGGAACTTAAGAAACGTTCATCTATGTCCTTAACAGAAGTAATTTTGATTACTGCTGAATATAGTCGTACAATATGCTCTTTGATGCACATACTACCGATGAATATAGTAGGTACAATATATTCTTTTTAGATCATTATGGTTCACTTTATGAGATGGTGGTGACAGGGATGACGAGATGCGATTTTTATCCAAGTGTTAAAACAGTGGGCGGAACTATGACAAGGATATTTTAGTATTCAGTGGAGGATATGGCTTTAGATGGAATTGAATGCCTAAAACATGTTCATTCTTATCCCTTCTTGTTGACATTAAGGCCTTTCTTTTTCTGTTACTGCATATGGGCAAAAGAGCTGTCTGGGAGAATTTGCTTTACTGACAGAATTTCCTATTGTCTCAGTAATTGGTCAGTTGTTCAGGAACTTAAGAAACGTTCATCTATGTCCTTAACAGAAGTAATTTTGATTACTGCTGAATATAGTCGTACAATATGCTCTTTGCTGCACATACTGCCGATGAATATAGTAGGTACGATATACTCTATATGAATTTAAGCAATCAGTATCTTGGTTGTATTGATGCCCTGTTGACAAGTGAAATCATTGAAGGACATGTACTCTACTCATGAATAAGTAATAGCATATTCATCTTTTTGGGTTACTTTTAAAATATCTGGAAAATTTGATGACATAATTTTTTGAATGTTGAGTTCTTACTTATGCTTGCATGTTTGTGCCAATATTTTAATATTTTCTCAACATATTTAACTGTTTACTCATTCACTGGTTCTGCGATTCTTGCTTGTAGGATGGGGGTTCTGGTGAGGACTTCAACAAGGACTCCATTGAGCGTGATGAAAGGCGTCTTACTGAACTAGGTCGTAGGACCATTGAAATATTTGTCCTAGCCCATATATTCAGGTAACCCGTCAATCTAATACTATGGAGATAAATGTAGTTAGACAGCAGTTGATTACTTTGATTGTGCTTCTTCAAGCTTTATAATCTTGGAAATTATAAATGCAAATTACACTCACTTCCTTTAAGGTTTATGTTAGAATAGTTCTTTTAGTTATTTTTGTTCTCTTGTTAATATTTACTTAAGTTGAGGGTACGATGGTCATATTGCTACTTTAGGTTTTTTATATATATTTGAGTGATGTACAGTTGAGGGAATTAATTGGTTTTTAATATATACAAAGTTCTCTCTTCTTCTTCTTCTTCCTCCTAACTTTCAACCCTAATTTCTCCATTTTACTTTCTCACTTGGTATCAGAGCCATCTCTTCTTCATTAGAAAGGGTTCTACAGATTCTAAAGATCGATCTGACGTGACCGAGACGTGCTGATGTCATCAGCCGTACGATGACGTCAGCACGACGTCAGCAGTGTACGGACGGGTCCTTCACCCCTAGACTCGAAATTGCCTCCTGAGATTTATGGTGATTTTTGTGGAATTTTTTGATTATCCCTGATGTGAGTTTTCGATTTTTGAAACTATTTCGTGTTTTTGGGACTGTTTTTTTGAATCTGCCTTTGGGACTATTTTTTTCTAGTTTTTCTTGCTGGGCTCACTTCCCTAGGAGCCAAAAATCACCCCTCTAAGGGTCCTTGATCTTAATTTGTTGTTTTACTCCTGTGGGGTTGATATTCTGTTCAATTTGTGGTTGTTTCTGGAGACGAAAATCACCCCTCTAAGGGCTGACACCCTTCTAGCAAGGGATATTTGTCCTCTCTTTATTGATTGCTTCTGTTGAGTTGATGTGTTGGTCTCATTTGGGTCCAAACTTGGTTGTTGAGCTAGTTCTGTGTTTATAGTGGTGATTGTGGGTATTGACTGTTTGCAAGTCTGGTTGATCATTATGGTTGAGATTGAGGCTAAGGCTATAACTATGGGTAAAGATGATGATATGCCTAAATCTATCACTACAAAGAAATTGAATGGTGCTAATTATTTGGCTTGGGCCCATGCTGTCAAGATTTTCTTACGAGGTAAGAAGAAGTCCCGCTATCTTAGTGAACTCCCTCCTATTGATGATAAGGATTATGATGATTGGTGTTGTGAGGATTCTTGTGTGATGGGTTGGATTTGGCATAGTCTGGAACCACAGGTTGCTACTACCGTGAAATTTTGTGATACCTCTAAGGCCATTTGGGACTCCCTTGCTGAGTCTTTTTCAACTCAAATTAATGTCTCTCGAGTCTACGAGTTATATGAACAGATTTTTGCTATGCGTCAATCTGGCCGGTCTCTTCTTGATTATTATAGTAGTCTCAAGACTTTGTGGGATCAGTTACTGCAGCATCGACCTTTCACAACTGATGTGACCACCTAGAAACAACATTGGGAGGAGTTTATGATGGCTTCTTTACTTTCTGGCTTAGATCCTGAGTTGGGAGGGTTCAAAGATCAAATTCTTGCCAGTGACACTCTACCTTCGGCCGCCAATGCCTATTCTAGGCTGTTACGCTCTTCATTGGGACAAGCACAATCCACTGTTGGGTCTTCTTTATCATCTTCTGCATTGGTTTCCAGTAGTAGTAGTGATCATGGGTCTACTCGCGGGGGTTTTCATAGTTCTTTTGGTTCCCGGAGCTCTTCTTCTGGTTTTCGGGGCTCTCGTGGAGGTGGTTCTCGTAGTGGTGGCTCACGTGGTGGTTTCCGTGGTGGCAGTAGTAGTGGACCTGGTTCTCATACACGTGGTGATCGCAAGTGTACTCATTGTGGTTCCCAAGGTCATACTGAACCTTGGTGTTGGCAAAAGCATGGCAGACCTGATCATGTCCATCAGGTTATGGATGTCCCCTCCTCACAGTCTTCCTTGTTGTCCACTGGCTCGGATGCTTCTCCTGTTACTTCGCATGAGACACTCACTACTCAAATTAGTGAGCTTACTGCCCTTGTCCAGTCTCTCCGGCCTAGTCTACCTTCTTCCTCTACTACCATGGCTAGTTCAGGTAATATTGCATGTGTGGCTAAGTCCTCTCAGCCTTGGCTCCTAGACTCTGGTGCTAGTTCTCATGTCTCTGGTAATTCCTCTCTTTTTGATACTCTTAGACCTGTTGATCATACCATTATACTTGCTGATGGATCTTCTCGGCCTGTCTGTGGTCAAGGTCCTCTTCATCCCACTCCATCCATGTCCTTACCTTCTGGTCTTTATGTTCCTAAATTTCCATTTAATTTGCTTTCTGTTAGCCAATTGACTCAAGCTCTCCATTGTTCAATAACCTTTTCTCCTACTTCATGTGTTTTGCAGGACCTCCAGACCAAGAGGATGATTGGTTCGGGGCATGAGAAGGATGGCTTATACTTTTTGGACGCTGAGACGTCTCCTCCTCCATCTGCTGTGTTGAGTGCTAGTGTATCTCCTCTTCAGTGGCATTTTCGCTTGGGTCATCCCTCCTTGGCCAAGCTCAAGTTAGCTGTTCCGGGTTTGAGTCATGTTTCTCAGATTGAGTGTGAAGCCTGTCAATTTGGGAAGCATCATCGTAGTTCTTTTCCTCGTCGTAGTGTTAGTCGTGTGTCTGAGTCTTTTGCTCTTGTCCATACAGATATTTGGGGTCCTTCTAGAACTCCTACTGTTAATGGGTTCTTTTATTTTGTTATTTTTATGGATGATTACTCTCGGATGACTTGGTTGTTTTAATAAAACAAAGATCTGATTTGCCTTCCATCATCTCTAAGTTTTATAATGAAATCTTTACTGAATTTGGCAAACGTATTAAGATATTTCGATCTGATAATGCCTTAGAATAAGATATGTGCAATCTATTATAACTACCTTTTGTGATGCTCATGGTATTATTCATCAAACTAGTTGTCCTCATACATCCCCACAAAATGGTGTTGCAGAATGGAAACACCGCCATTTGCTAGATGTTGCTCGCACCCTGATGTTTAATATGCATGTCCCCAAACAGTTTTGGGGCGATGCTGTTCTCACTGCTTGTTTGCTTATCAATCGCATGCCCTCTAGGGTTGTACACACATCTCCTTATTCTCTGCTATATCCCACCACATCTCCTTTTCCCTTGCCTCCTCGCATTTTCGGGTGTGTGGCCTTTGTCCATGTTCTTGACCCTGGGTTGGATAAGTTATCTCCTCGTGCACGCAAGTGTGTGTTCTTAGGTTATTCTCGCACTCAAAAAGGGTACCGGTGTTATCATCTTGAGTCTCGTCGCTACTTTGTCAGTGCTGATGTTACGTTTTTTGAGTCTACTCCGTTTTTTTCTTCCTCTGGGCAACAGTTATCTACTGATCTTCTCTCTTCTCGTGAGGGGGAGCCAGCCTCTCTCGGATACCTCTAAGGCCATTTGGGACTCCCTTGAACGTGCGGAGACAGTTTGTCCAGCAAACTTTGAATAGCATATCTTTTGCTCGGGACTCCGTTTGAGTGATTTCTTGAGCCTAAAATTCAAGCCCCGGAAAGTCTAGTTTTCCAATGGAAGTGGTATCACTCCCCAATTCTAAATACAGAATAGTATGTCCAAAGTAGTGATTGACTGTTCACTTTGTCAAACCAATTTTATACCATTTCTTCATAAGCACCATTTCCCATTGATTTCTCCTATTTTCTGAACATGGAGTATAACTTATTAAGGAAAATGGCTTGGTGATCACCATGGCTAATGATTGCATGGATCAAAGGAGAATATAAATGATCGAGGTTATAATCTCATATTATGTGTTGTGCATGTACTTGTAGGTCAAGACGAGGAATCGTTCCACGCTATCAGAGAAACCTACCATGTGGGTAATAGTACTGTAGTTGTTACATGGACTTTCCGTTTAGTAATTCTTATTACTCTACACCACTCTCGTTCTCTTCGCACATTAAATTACGATTAACTGTATGAATGATGGGGAACTGTAGATTGCCTATGTTTTGCACTTGAATTAATACTGTACAAATTCTCGACAGAAGCAATTGTCAGACATTAGCCCCTACCTTCAAAACATGAATGTTTGCCTTATCCTTATAATGAATCATCAAATGGCTAATCGTGATTTTAGAATTGTCTGGCTTTACTCATCGTTAATAATTATTACTAATTGATTTGTTATATGTAATACAACTTAGTCAACTTGTGTGTAAACCATAGGGAAATTTATGTGAACCCTGTGAACACGTACTCCTATGATAGTCTGGATTATTACTGTTCTGTTGTATCGTTTCGTTATGCTATGAAATGATATAATTGGATTTTGGTATGTCCTCACACGACAACACGTGGGTGTCTGTACGGAAACAAGTGCTACAATGCGAGCCACCTCTAGAATCCGCTACGAGCCACCTCTTGAGTGTTCAATACTATTATGTGAAACTGAGGCTTGGCCCGTTCTGTGAAAGTTAGAGGCCTATGGCCGTTTTGAGAAAGTATGAGGCCTTATGGCCATTCTGTTGCACCATATGTCGAGGCCTATGGCCAATCTGTGAACATCTGGGCCTTGCCATTTTGTATGATCTGTGTGCTGAACAACATACTGCACGAAAACTAAGTGTTGCAATGTGAGTCCACCTCTAGAATCCGTGCGAGCCACCTTGGTTATACTGCATGAAGAGGTTATGCCGATCTATTTAAGGGCGTAATTGCCATTCTGTTGTAAGGGCTTAATGCCACTCTGTTCAAAGGCTTGAACCATATGTTTAAAGAACTGGGGCACAGGCCGTTCTGAAAATGTTTTACAAGACAAGAGTAATTATTAATGGCCTTTGCACTTTATATACGTATAAATATTACAAACTCAAGTGTTATCATTAAATTAGTTAGTGCTATTATTCACTGAGCTTTGCTTATTCTGTTTTATGTATTTTTCTGTAGCGCTGAACTCACTCGGGATTGACAAAGTGTGTCCAAGGGTTTGCCTTGTCTGCCAAGGACACTGGGGGTATGTCTCTACGGGAGGCCTTAATTTATTATGTGGGAGTCATATAAATTAGTAAGTCTTTATGTGAGTGTGTGTGAGATCTATATAAATTTTGTGGTTGTATATGTTATATTTGGAAATGTATTAATGGCTTAAATCCAATTAAACCATTATGGGTATGCACGAGCTCAATGGGATGTTGTCTTTTATTGATATTGCTTCAGCCGTAAGGCCCATATATGGCATTAAATATTACTTTAAAAATTTTGTTTTGAGGCCTATGTACAGGCCAGTCATTGGACCAAACTTTTAGGGGCGGGTTGGGTCGTGACAGTACACTTAGAGTAACTTGTAGAATGTTGGTTTTCTGTGGTTTGAAAAATACTGGAGTTAGCATTGCAATTTTTTTGAGATCCTCCGTTGAAGAAGTGTTGGTTTTCTTGTGGCATTTGCATCATTTACGAGTTCTCTCCACCTATACTTGATAATGGTGAGGTGGAGGCAATTCCAATTAATGCTGATGAGGTGTATTTACACAAACATGGTGGCATATATTTGGGTGATCTTTCCCAGCTGGATGCTGTCCCTTGCTCATTCCTGTGAAATTTTCTTTTATGCCAGGAATGCAAACTATTATTTTCATGTGGACAAAAATGATTTTGGAACACGCAAGCATCCTTGACTTTCCAGTTACTAAGTTATAATGCGCCCACTTATTCACCAGTTTGCTCAAACTTTTTTATATTGTTGTTTTTGAATTGACAAGAAAGTTTCTTTTCAACATTTTTCAAAAATTATCTTTGGAAACTAACTCACATTGTTTTTAATTTTATCACTTTTGTTTGTATGTTCTTCTTGTATTATTAAACTTTATTTTTAATTTTTGAGTCTGTTTCAGATGTTTTAATTCGATGGCTTTATGCTTTATTCTGATGTTATTAGGTTCGTTTGGTGAGCTGCATCCTGACAAGAATATTGATTAACAAGAAGCATTGCTTTAACACATAAAAACATTATTGTTTAAATCACAACCAAGGATCAGTCCTTAGCTTAGAACTATTTGATTGTTATTGATTGAGAATTTGAATTCAATTTTTAGATATGTTATTTGCGAGTAATGTAAAACATTCATTTGTGGATATGTTGTTTATGCGGGTAATGATGACTTGGATATTAAATTGAATGAGAAAGTGAATAATGTTGAATTACTGATTTGAATAGGTTATTTTTCATATAATGCTATTTAGTTTTTATTACAGGAAAATATTTTTTTTCTAGCTTCATCACATTAAATTAGCCATTAATTTTTTTTATATAAAAAAAAAGATATCAGCGCTGTTTTTGAAGAAACGCCACCTAAACCTAAAAGTAATTGGTGCGTTTTAAAAAGAAATGACGACATTTTTGAAAACGTCGCTAAACCATAGTCGACATCATCAATTACATAGGGTGTGGACATTTTGACGTGTTTAAAAAACGCTGCCTACTGTTATAAGCGATGTTTTAAAACGCCATAAGCCACAGCGACGGCCGCTCAGTGCGGCGGCTTAGTACTAAACGTCACGAAAAGGAATTAGCGGACGTTTTTTCTACTATTGCGGCGTTTTTAAATTGCCCGCAAAATGTCATTTTTCCCAACAGTGATTATGAACTTGAAAGCCAACTTCAACATGGTGTGGTACTCAACAATTACTTTTCCCTAGTATTCCATTACAATATAGCGGGAGCCAAAGCAGGCATTTAAGTTTCTAATTTTTTTTGATAGCAAAACGATTAATACTCAAACTTAATTCTCTGACCACAATGTGGACGGCATGGATGGGTTTAAGAGGTCCTGCAGTGTTTCAGCGTACAGGCTAACTACTTAAAGAGCGCATCTATATTGTGAGGTCCTTAATCATGAGGGTATGATTAGTTTTTTTTTTCTTATGTTCTTTTTTTTCCCCTTTTTGTTTTTTTTTAGTTTTTGTGAGAAGCTATTCACTTAATACTATATGGATCATTAGACAGCATGAACCAAATTAATATATAATACAAGACTCATTTTCAAATACTCTTTTTCTTTCCGTTTTTTCAGATGTTTTCCTTCATGAACCTGAAAGTAATTTTGGTTTGTCTAGCAAATCATTGGTACATGAAGGGTATAACTGAACACACGAACACATGGATAGGACTGCTTCAGATAATTGGTTTCAGAAGAAGGCAAGGAACTTGGCCTTCGTGCACATTGGAAAATGCACAAAATGGGGAAAAGAGGCAAGTACAAAACTTATACTGCAATTGTTTTGAGTCATTCTCAAACATAATAATACACGGTAAAGTTCTTGTTTCTTGGTAACAGATAGGTTATTTTTATGATAGCTTGTTGCGAGAGTACGTTCACGGGGTATCTTTTGCACTCTTAAAGGTTGGCGTTCCATCTATCTTTATCCAAAAAGAACCGTGTTCTTAGGTTGTACCACCATCGACATGAGGACACCATGGTTCAACTTCTTTTTCTTTAACTTCTTTTCCTTTACAGCAGCACCGCGTTTTTGCTTTCTGCTCAGTTCAGCCAGCCGGCTCCTCTACACGCATGAGCTACTCTTGCCTTTTCAAAGCAACAGCCTGTTGTATGCAACTTCAATTTTACTGCTAAAACAATAAGGGAAAATAAGAGTATATATAAATGGAAAATTGAAAAAGATTGGATTAATTCACCACATAGAAGATTGCAACACTAAAATCATACAATAACAAATCAGTCCAAGATTCCAATAGTGTTATAGTATCAGCCATAGGATATAGTTAAGGTTTTAACATTGTAAATATCAAACAATCACTAACTTAATTAAAAAGCCACTTCATTTCACATTAACTCTTTTTTTCCTCTCTCTTGTCAGACACATAATACTTCACTACAAACAAAATGAGGAAAAATATGGAAAAACCACAAAATGTTGATCATTCCAAAAAATGAAAAAAAAAACAACAAAAAAACAAAAAAGAAAGGCATCATCTAAAACACAATTTACCTCAATTAATGTAGTTACCTTCTCACCAAAAAACAACAAAATTATCCACTTCTCAAGTAGAAGAAGAATCATATTTTGACAATTTGAAAGACCAAGACTCATACCTCCCTCAATCAGTTGACACTCAAATTAAAAATTAAACGCTATGAAGTTATCATTTATCTAGAGAGAACTTAAATGTTAGTGAATGAAATAAGATTTTGCACCAGCTTTATTCACTTTTTGGGGAAAAGGACAAGGACAAATAGTTTTTCGCCCAAGTTAATAAGAAAAGAACTTTACTGAACTTGGCACTTCTACTGCTGATCTGGGGTATGTGATTAGTAACCAACGAGCTGCAGAATATTATCAAAAAAGTTTAAACATGTACTGCTAGCTAGTGTTGTTGTGTGTATATATATAAAACAGTGAAATGTAAAATGGAGAAATAGGGTTGAAAAGGTTGGGGAAGAAGAAGAAGCAAGAGAGAACTTTGTATAATAAAAACCAATTAATTCCTCAACTGTACATCACTCAAAATTATATAAAAAACCTTAAAGTAGCAATTATGGACCATCGTACCCTCAACTAAGTAAATATTAACAAAGAGAACAAAAAAATAACTAAAAGAACTATTCTAACACTCCCCCTCAAGCTGGAGTATAGAATCGAACATGCCCATTTGAGTAGCAGAACAAACGAAGAAATTTGAAGGCCGAGCCAAAGGTTTGGTGGAGAATATCACCACATGATCCTCAGAACAGAAATTTAAGGAGTCACCAGTTTGCTTGCGGAGTAAGAGATCACGAATTAAAATGGCACAATCAACTTCGCATATGTTTGGTGCGTTCATGAAACACAGGGTTATTTGGCAATGAAAGATAGCAGCCCTGATTGTCACAAAAACATGCGCATAGGAGTGGAAACAGAAAAGCCAAAATCTTGGAGAAGAGACTGAACCCAGAGCATCTCAGAAACAGTATGGCCATTGGCGCGATATTCAGCCTCGGCACTAGAACGAGCAACGACGGTCTGTTTCTTGCTACGCCAAGTGACAAGATTACCACCAACAAAAGTACAATAGCCTGAGGTGAACGGCGGTCAGTTCGTATTACCAGCCCAATCAGCATCACTGAAGCCAGCGATAGAACAAGGAGGAAGAGAGGGCGATAGAGCAACCCCCGACTGGAGGCACGCTTTAAGTATTGCAAGATACGACATACAGCCACAAAATGGGGTTGGCGGGGAGCATGCATAAACTGACTGACCACACCCACAGCATAGGTAATATCTGGACGAGTGACAGTGAGATATATTAACTTGCCAACCAACCGACGATAACGACCAATATCAGGAAAGAAGTCGCCAGTGTCACCAGCAAGCTTGACACTAGAATCCATGGGAGTACACTGGGGCGAGTGCCTAAGAGACCAGTCTCAGTAAGAAGATCAAGAACATACTTCCGTTGAGAAAGAAACAAGCCCTGAGAAGAACGGGCAACTTCAATCCAAGAAAATACCGAGATGCCCAAGTCTTTGGTGTGAAATTGTTGTCCAACATACTGCTTCAAAGCAGCAATACCATTGGAGTCACTCCCTGAAATGATGATGTCATCCACATAGACAATAAGAAACAATACTCCCAGTAGACGAGTGGCGAACAAAAACAGAGTGATCAAAAGTGGAACGGTGAAAGCCATAGGCAAGCACAACAGCACTGAAGCGATCAAACCAGGCACGAAGGGACTGCTTTAAGACCATTAACAAGGCCTTCCTCAATCGACAAACAAGATGCTCTTGGCCGGGAACACACAAAGCCAGGGGGCTGATCCATATAGACCTCCTCGTGGAGATCACCATGGAGAAAAGCATTCTTGATATCCAGTTGATATAAGGCCAAGACTGATTAACTGCAACAGAGGAAAGAATCCGAACAGAGTTAAGACGGGCACAGGAGAAAAAGTCTCCAAGTAATCAACACCATAGGTTTGGGTGTAGCCTTTAGCTACCAGGCGAGCCTTAAGGCGCTCAACAGTTCCATCAGGAAGATACTTAACAGTATAAATCCAACGACAACCCACAATAGATTTGCCAGAGGGCAGAGGGGTAAGGTTCCAGGTCTGATTTTGATGAAGAGCATGCATTTCCTCATCCATGGCAAACTTCCAACTAGAGATGGACATAGCCTCAAGATAGGTGCGAGGAATGGAAATACTCGACAAGCTAACAAGCAAAAGAGTGAGACCAGGGGAGAGGCGATCATAAGAAACGAAATGAGCAATAGGATGTTGAGTGCAAGTGCGTTTACCTTTGCGGAGGGCAATAGGAAGGTCATCAGATGGTAGAGCAGCAGGTGAACAGGGGCCTCAGACGAAAGAGATGAACTGGCCGGCCATTAGACACAATGCGACGAGCTTGAGCGGTTGATAAACCTGCAAAGGAGGGGTAGAAGTGAGAGGGAGAGAGAGAGGATAGAGGAGTGGATGTGGAAGGAGCATAAGAGGGAAGAGTAGGAGCGAGACAACTA